CTTGAAACTGAGTAAAAAAACTTCCTTGCAGAATGCACCATGCTGGATTGACAATCAAATTGAATTTTCAATCAAAAAAATAGATAATGTCAGCTATCGTTTAGTCAAACTCAAGTAACTTTACATCCTTCATAAAAAAAAACAGCAGTCAATAACCAAACAAGTCTTTGCTTAAGTATTGTGTTTTTGTAGTAAAAAAATTGCTACTGACACCATGGGGCTAGGCCTCTCGAAGAGATATCAGTACGCGCATAAAAAAATCATTTAAAATGCAAATTATATGACGTATGAACTGTTTTCAATCATTTGTTTTAAAAAAACCTTATATAAACCTTTTAATGATGGACCATGAAAAAAACTGTATGAAATTCCAAAAAAAAGAATGATTTCAATAAATATATATCATACATCATATGAAAACTGTACCATTATTAAAAAAAGCATATGCACTCTAGCGCCGAAAGCAGAGCAGAAAAACACTCAATTTAAAGGCAAAAAAATAAAAACGAAATCCTGATGATTTTCGCCAAATCGTAAGATTAAACGATTTGAAAAAAAAAGTCTAAGAAAAAGTTCAAAACCACTGAAAGAATTTAATGATTTTTTTTAGAAAAAAAAAAAAAAAAATATTTGTTTTCTTTGATGATATACGAATTAAATAATTTTTCAATGGAAAAAAAATATCGGTTGAACGCAAGTTAAAATCAATTGCCGAATTACCGACATTTCTTGAAAAAAAATTTTTTGACAATTCGCTTTGGACATTCCATTATTTTATTCGGAAGAAGTTGTAAAAAAAAGTCCGGCTGTCAAATCGGAACATTTCTCTACCAATACCCATGTTATGTCATCGAAAAAAAATATTTGAATCTAAAATCACTCAGAAACAAAGTTAAAAAGATTTTTGACAATGAAAAAAAATGATAAGTTCTTACCTTGAAGTTTAAAGAAAATAATTGATATAATAAGGGACAGAATTGTTGGTTTGCTCGCTATCATGGTTCTGCTGAGGCCGGTCGCAGAAGTTGGTGTCGTAAAGTCGACACCCTTGCGCAACTGGACCGCTTTGATGATAATTAATTCATACTTTGACAAGCTGAATTCCCTTAGGAAAATGGCCACAGAGGGAGAAGACTTGTTAAATCAGAAAACAAAAAAAAATACGGATGGATTCCTTTGGAAAAAAAAATAATAATATAGGAATAGATCAGTTAAAAAAATGGAAAAAATAACAATGAACTCAAACGTTCTACTTTGTCATGATTTTCTTCCTTAATTTTCTTCATTCATTTTTACCGATCTTTTTTGGCGCTTCATTCTTAAAGGGGAATCTCTATTCTTTGGCATAGTATATATTATACGCTAAAATTTTCAGTGCAGGTCACGTAACAACAAAAAAAAGACAAAAAATGATGAGGCAAACACCAGGATTTTTTTTAACTTTCCAATAAAAAAAAAAATTCATTTTGGATTTTTGTTTTTTACATTTGTATCTTTTTACGCTGCTGTGTTAAAAAAAACCATCCCTCCCCCCCTATTAGTTCCTGTGGCTCCTTCTGTCAGAAAGAGAAATAAAAAAAGCCCACCCCCACACAGAAATGAGAGAGCACGATTTTAAGCAAAAGAGGACGACAAAAAAAAAACATCTATACTAGAAGAGCTAATAATGTTAAAAAATTATTAAATTCTTTCAAAAATTATGAAATATTAGAGACGCAATGGGGAAGGGTTAAGCTTAAAGTTAGTACAAAATTTGGAAAGATGGCCGGTTTTTCAACGGTGAATTGTCTAGCAGAAGTGATTTCCGACATAAAGAATACATCTCTAGTTAAAGAGAAAGGAGAAAAAAGTGTTACTTTACTTTTTTTATATAAAAAATCTCATTTCAAATCCTAACATGTTGATTCTAGAGTTTACCGGTAACTTTTAAAACAAAAAAATACTTAACTTAAAACCTTTGAAAGGATAAAGTTGTAAAAACTTTCAAAAAACAAAAAAAAAAATATATCTCAAAATTCAAATGATACTTACATATCTGCTTCAGTACTTTTCAAAAAAAAATAGCGATTGACAAAAAAAGGTGAAGTCGAAATCTTTTTTTGAAAAAGTTTCAAAAAAAAAACAAGGCGCCAAAGTTTACCGCCAAAGCCAATGTCAGTGTAACGGGAAGGGGATGCGTGAGGTTTTACCATAAAAGGACATCGTGACACTTGCGTTACACTGAACCGAAAAAAAAAAAAAAAAAGTGAAAAGAGTGTCTGAATTACACCTGAAAATAAAACTAACTTCAAATAAAAAAATAATTTTCTGAAATTTCTATCATCGTCGGAAATTTATCGTAAAAAAATCGGACAAAAAAAGGAAATTCCTATCTGAATTCACACAGCAGTCCGCTAACCATATTGAACGAGGGAAAAAAATGTCTGATGCCAGAAACGTGGAAGGCAGCAATGCAAAGTAGAAAGTACAGCATAAAAAAACCTTCGGCAGTTTATTCCTCTTATGAGGACGATCCAGAATATTTTACCTTCGAAAAAAAATGGGAAGTTGCAAACAAAGGTAAAAATTGTGAATTTGTGGTGGAAAATTGAGTTGAAATGATGTCCTTCGTTGCACACCTCGAGGTTGTTGTTTTTCCAAGACAATGTTTATAAAAAAAATATCAATGTCAAAGTCCAAATCTCCAAAGGCTTTTGAGTAGATTGAATAAGTGAAAAAAAGCTCAATAAAAGGTTGTTGTTGGTTGTTTATTTGTGGAGATATTGATTGCTTTAAAAAAAGACATCATTAATAGATCAGCTGATGTTTAGCTACAAGTAAGCTTAAGTAATAAAAAAAAAATCAGACCTCCTGTGACGCGAACTTTAGCCGGTACGGAACAAAATATACTTTCAAAAAAAACACGAGTTTGAGAAATATTATCATATATTATATTTATTTGTGGTTTTGATGTAAAAAAATTCCGATATTTAAAAAAGACAAATAGATTAATCCCGACGCTTCGTTATTACAAAAAAAAATGTAATTACCCTCTTTCATTATAACGTCACATCAAAATATTCTGTTGCTTTAAAAAAAAAGACTAGGGATGGAAGGGCTACATAATTGGTGACAAGGCAACAAAAAACAAAATAAAAAAAAACGCAACACATATACACATTACAGCAATTGTACACATTTTTATAAAGTGTTTAAAAAAAATTATGGATGTTTAGCATTTTGTTATAATTATACTTAAAAATTTACATATATTAAAAAAAATGAGATTAAAACTTTAAGGGAGTTGTTTGCAGTAATCTCGTTGAAGTAGAGAAAAAAAAACATGTCTTCAATATTGGGGTATACATTTAAGGTAATTGCGGCAATTTAAATTAAAAAAATTGGAGGAATATATACCGTCATAAGATCCAAGGCAGCAGCGACAGTGGATGTACTGGGTGATAATTACTGTTTGATGGGAATTTACAATGACAAGCAATGTACAATGGAAGTTAAAAAAATGGAGCCTGAGTCAGAATGTATGAAGGGAACCTTGCGAGCAATGAGAGACAAGGGGGTGAAGGTAAAGGAAGCATTTGAAATATAAGAAGTCTGATTATGTACTTACTGACTGAGTGTTAGGGCAGTACGGGAAAATATTTGGCTCRAGGTTATGCCGTATGGACCGAGTGCAAAAAAAAAATAAGCATTTTATCATACGACAGCGTTTTTAATGTAAAATAAAAGCAAAAAAAAAAAAATAGGGTAGGGCCAAAATACTGGTCAAATGATAAATTGCATTACATGTAAGTACAAAAAAAAAAACTATGGCATATTCTTACATGTGTTGTGTTCTAATCAAGATATTTTCTCAAAAAAAAGTTACATGTCTATGGTGTCCAAGCAACAGGAAAGGCTATGTGATCTGCATCATAAAAAAATCATAGATAGCAGTATTTCTATAGCTACTACAGTCGCAATTATAACAGCAACGAAAAAAACAGCAACAACAGTATTGCTACTTCAACGCCAGGAACAGCAACAACAGTATTGCAAAAAAACTGTGAAATTGTTTTATGATAATATATTGACTAGCTTTTTCTTAATCAAAATAAAAAAAATATATATTTCAGGTTCATTTTGGTAGATGGCTGATTGATGGGTATCCAAAGGTAAAAAAAGGAAACATTAATACTGCTCCTAGTATTATTTTTTCTTGGACAGGAAATACTGAAAAAAAAGCAAATACAAAGAAATGACTGAAAGTAACTCCTGCTATTTTAGACTTTCACTGAAAAAAACACTAAATTACGTTCTCAAGGGTGTCCGTAATAGCAAGAGTTGACTGTAATAGAAAAAAAGAAGTTATCAAAACATAAGCAATTCTAAAATGTTCTATCAATTTTATGTCATTAAAAAAAACAACAACAACAATTATAAAGTCTTTTCAGACAAATTCACAATGGAAAGATCAAAAAAAAGGGAGTGAAGATGCAATCAAGAAATTATATTTTATTGAAATGTTGTATTCCAGGTTGTGCTGTTTGATATTGGTTCTGTATACCATAAGTTGAATAGATGGAAAGGTGAATTTAAAAAAATTTCAAGAATTGGAATACCAGATTCTGACACAGAGTCTAATGATGCTATTGTACTTGGCTTCCTTGTTGCGCAGTTCATTGCAGAGGTAATTGGAAATTCTTTACAGGGCTCGAAAAAAAGGTGGAATCAAAGGACAATGTCTTTCCAAATTCAGTAGATGACTGGCCAAATCACGTTTTGAAAGGACAAAATGAACTGCCATATTTTTAGATCTTTCTTTGAATACAAAAACAAAAAAAAGAAAATAACAGTATAATAAAGTTTTTGTCCTTTCAAATGAAAACTCAACATGAAAAAAAAAAAATGAATTTGGAAGGACATGTTGTCCTACATATGTCTGGTCGTTATTTTGAAAAAAACTTTATACATGCAAGAATTTTGTCAGACAGATATAGAGCATGATATTTAGATAAAAAAAAAGAAAAGAAGTCAGTAATTAAAAAAGTAAACAGCTTAAGAGACATCTAAAGAAAAAAAAAATATATCTAGTACATGACTGATAAATCTTTCATTTTAATAAATATTACTCTTGAAAAAAACTTTGTCAAGTTCCGTTCAAGATTTGATAAAAGCCTGCCTGTGGTAGCTCATTTCCATGAATGGCAGGCAGGTGTTGGCCTGATAGTCCTACGAACACAAAAAGTTCMTGTAGAAAAAAAATTCACTACTCACGCCACCCTACTGGGGAGATATTTGTGTGCTGCTAATGTAGACTTTTACAATAATCTAGAAAGGGTAAGTGATTTGTTAGGGGGAGGGGTGGGTAAGAATTAAAAAAACTAGGAAGTCATTTAAATCCATTCATAAAATTATTCATTTTGTTTCATTATTAAAAAAAAATCAATTATTTAATATCTTTATCTTTATAATTTATTCATTTTTTGATATTATAAAAAAAATTTCGTTTTAGTTTGATGTTGACAAGGAAGCTGGCGATAGGGGTATTTATCATCGATACTGTCTAGAACGAGCTTCAGCCCACTTATCTCACGTATTCACCACTGTATCCCGCAAAAAAACTGACGAGGCAGAGCATCTTCTTAAAAGGAAAGCAGGTTTGCAAAATCATTCAAAAAAAAGTTTGATCACATCCTCAAAATTCAAAATGGCGGCTGGTAAATTTCTGATTCGTAAAAAAATTCACTCAAACATTCTGATTGGTTGATTAATTTTATGGCTGCCATTTTGAATTTCGAATCGAGAACAAGGTCTAACAGACTTCGTGCCCAGGGGTATTTTTTTCTCGGAGTGAAAAAAAAACAGCAGATGATTACACCTGGGTTCCTGAGGATGTTGTTCTCAAAAATATTATCTTGTGAGAAGTATTTTTCTACTTAAGAAAGAACCTTTGTAAATAATAAAAAAGATAAATAAAAAAAAGTCAAAAGAGTGCAGTGTAGAAAATGTACCAACATTTCAGACATGTTTACTAAAAAAAAGAAAGGCCACCTGTGAATTTTTTCTTTTTTTGCCCAGCTGCCCGAGTAATACAAAAAAAAAGCCCGAGTAAGCAATCTAAGAGCATCTAGTTATGGCAACTATTTTATATTTTAAAAAAAAGATCTCGTTCTCCCAAATGGACTCAACGTTGTCAAATACACGTAAGTCATCAAAAAAAAGTTTATTACCAGATATGAATATGAGGACCGCATATGGCACTATGAGCAACATGAAAAAAAAAGAAATGAAAGGAATAATTAACCACCATTCCTTTCCTTTATTTCTATATTCAAAAAAAATTACTAGATCTTAATCAAAATTGTTGCAAATTCATGTGTAATCTGAGCATTAAAAAAAAACTTTAAACCGCTGTCTCTTGCTGAACTGTTATTTTATTTCTATACCAAACTAATAGAGCTTTACATGAGTTTCAAAACCTCCACGCTAAAGCTAAAGACAAGATAAATGACTTAAAAAAAGGGCACTTCTATGGGTAAGTGATGTTACTTGCAACTTTATTGTATAAGTTATTAAAAAAAGTATGTTGGCTAGACTCTAGTACTGGTAATTATTAAATATATGTTTTCTTTGTAAAAAAATTGATTTTGACCTTGACAAGACATTGTACTTCTTTGTGGCTGGAAGGTACATAAAAAAAATATAATGCTTGTATTCCTTCTTCCGGCCATTCCTCCATTCCATTCTCCTTCCCAAAAAAATTTATTACTATTTATAATTATTCTTCATTCATCCCTTTGTCCCTCTTTCCGACAAAAAAACATTGACCACAAACAAAATGTTGGACTAAGGCGTCAAGGAAYAMTGAGCACAGAAAAAAACTTTTATGCTCACTGTACYTTGACACCKCAGTCCAATGGTTTGTTCATGGTCAAAAAAAAAGTGTATAGAATGTYKTGAATAYTTTCTTCTTTCCCTTCCATTTACTATAGTTAAAAAAATCCTTTCCACTTCATTCATCCACTTTTTCTCCCTCCCTCATTCCTGCCTTTTTAAAAAAACTTTTTCTTTCTCTCCATCCTCCTTTACTTCACTCATAGTCTGTACATGTATTAAAAAAATATGAATATTTCAACAAAGGTGCTGATCTATTTATTGAAACCTTGGCCAGACTAAAAAAACATCTCAAGGTACTTGTACTATCATTATAATTATTTTCATGGTTGCTATTGTTAAAAAAATTACTAATGTYAATGGTYATTATTGTTGCCATGGCTACCATTRTTAAATTGTTAAAAAAAAGTCAACGGGATCTGATATAACTGTAGTTGCCTTCATGATATTCCCAACTAAAAAAAAAAATTTCAATGTGGATTCGTTAAGAGGTCAAGCTGTCACTAAGCAACTGAAGTATAAAAAAAAACTGAAAGCTCTTAAAGAATTGTAATTCAAGCTATATTTAAAGGCCCAGTTTAAAAAAATATGCTTTGCGCGCCTCTGTTATTGTTAAGATTTTAGATGAAAAATACTTCTAAAAAAAAAATATCACCATAAAATGAATGTCCGATGGTTGAAAACTCTAATTTTAGCGTTGAAAAAAATTAGAAAAGTGAGATGGTAAAGATATGAGCGGATTTGAAACGCACAGTATAGTAAAAAAAAGACTTTCGATATACTGAAAATGGCCGCCTCCAGGTCCTCGCGGCCCCCAAAGCATAATGGTGCACACTGGGCCTTTAAGAGCAAGTGACAACACAGATTGTTCATTGCTGTCAAAAAAAAAACCAACCCCAGAACAATATTGTTGTWTTCATTCATGCAAATGTGTTTTCCCAAAAAAATTCCCACTGATATTTTTCTTCATAATTGTACTGAGTTTTGGCTCACTTTGTTGAAAAAAAGGGAAACCGTCACAGAGATTCAAGACAAGATTGGAAAGCGACTTTATGAAAGCTGCGTAAAGTAATGAGTAGTTTTACAAATTACCTTACAACATTGTTAGTAAATTATTACAGCAAATACCAATGCATCTCAACCCACTGGAAAAAATTGGMCGCTTTAAAGGTTGTAAATTTGATGTATATTTGATATAAGTGTCCAAAATGATGTAAATTTGATGTAAATCATTTCCATCAAAAAAACAACCTTTWTGGCGAGCGATTTTTTYCAGTGACCTCGGCACTACAAAGTTTGTAAAAAAATTTGTTTTCTGAGAATTGGGATGAATCTTGAAAGAAAGATAACAGACAAAAAGAAAAAAAGAATGAAAAACCTTTTGAAGAAGAACTTAGGTGCACTCTAAGTCTTTTGTTTCGAAAATTTACAAAGAATATAGATTCCTTCAAGCTAATGGAAGCAGCTTAGAGAAGTATAATTAACATACTCTCTTCTCACAAAGCACAGAATAGAAGAAACTCCAAACAGATGTAAAAGTTGCAATGCATCGACTCCTGCTGTAATAATTCTCGTGAGAGACTGCTTTCAGACTACATGTATACTCTAATGTTTTTATCCTATTCAATATCTAGAGGTCACATTCCCAATGGTACAGATCTGCTGACTTCAGATGAAATAGTTACACTCAAGCGTTGTATACTAGGTGCCCAAGTAAGGTTTCGCCATTCAAGATCTGTGTGTTTCGTAAATAGAGTATAATTGGTGTTTTTTTTTTTGTTTTGTTCAGCGACCGTCTCTACCTCCAATTGTCACACATAATGTTGTAGATAGTTCAGGTGAT